AACACTATGCAAACAATAGAAAGATGAAGAGTGGAGTAAAACAGGAGAGACATGTGCTTGGAGTGAGCATATTAAATAGGGTAGCAGGTTAGACATTATCAAAAGGTGAGATTTGGTAAAGTGCAGTTGAGAATACCTGTAATCCCAGCACCCTGAGAGGCTGAGGCAGGAAGATCACAAGTTCAAGCCCACCCTGGGCAATTCAATGACTTAGCAAGACCCTGTCTGAAAATTTTTGGAAGGCTGGGGATGTAGTTCATTGTGAAGCCCCTGGGTTCAGTCCCCAGGATTGCTTCCTCTGACCCTGAAAAGTGAGGCTTGAGCAAAGGTATGAAGAGGGTAGTGAAAGGAGTAGCTGAGTAGACTTTTGAGGGAAAAGCCTTAGAAGTAGTGAACAGCTGAAGCTAAGTGCCTTTGGGTGGGAGTTATTGCCAAGGAACAGGAAGGCTTGGTGGGAACAGTTAGCAAGGGGGAGCAGCCAGAGGGTCAAAGGCCTCACTTTACCTGTTTCTGCTTTTTGTCTGGCAGATTCCGGGACCCCAAATCCCAGCGGACGCACCAGGCTCAGGTGGCATTCCAGGTTTGTGTGCGTCCTGGCTCCTATACCCATGGACCCCCTTCTGCTGCTCTCAGAGAACCTCCTGACCCTCACTTCAGCCCAGCGGAACTTGAGTGGGTCACTAAGGAGAAGGGGGCCACACTCCTCTATGCCCTGCTGGTACGGGTGGAATGAGGGGTGAGACACCACTACTACAAGCACAGTTGGGCCTTGGCCCAGGACTCTGAGTGAAGACTGCCTCCACCTCATTCCAGTGACTCATGGCATGCACAGGTGCTGTCCTGGCAGACGAAAGAGCACGTAGGCAGTCTCTCAGATTCAAATGGGGAATGGAGCACATCTCCATGTCCAGAGGGCCAGCACACTCCCTCTGATGGAAGGGAGATTGTGGGGGTCTGACTCCAGGCCCCCCCTTTCATGCACTGACGTGGGGAACACGAATCCCTATTTACCCTCCCCATCATTTAATTTATTTCCGTTTTTGTTTCTGGTTACTGTGAATCCCAGAGGAGTTTCTCCCTGTGCCCACAAGAAGCTGCTGTTTTCCGGGGCCATCGGGCGGGAGTGGGGAAGGAAGGGCGGGAGCAAGGAAGAGGACCCTCTGTACAGTTGTTACTGACTCGGGTTTTTAAGGAGCCAATAAACACCCGTCTCGGAGCACACGCCTCGGCCTCAGTCTCCCGCGCCCCTCACAGAAGTGCATCCAGGGCGGGCCAGGCACGGCCCCCTCTCGGCTTTGGGGTCCGCCCACCGCGGGTTTGAACTCGCGGGCACCCGTCCCGCGCGCTTCCGCCTTTCCCTGTCACCTAACCTGTAAGGTCGGTTTCCTCCGTGACTCCGGAAGGACTCAGCCCGGCCGCCGGATGTGACGCTAGAGACAAGGCGCGCCGGAGGCCGTGGAGAGCGCTGAGAAGACGGGTAGGGAGGGGCCGGCGCCCCGGGGCTGCAAGAAGGGGCGGGGGCACCTAGCCAGTGACCCCCACCCCCACCCGCGTGGTTCGCCTGCGCTCGCGTACTAGAGTGCGGCTATGGCCCGGCCAAGAGGTGGACTCCAGGACACGTGACTCGGCCTGCGTAGACGAGCTTCCGCTTGGGTCCCGTGTGAGTCTCTGCTGAGCACCCTCCTACCTGCAGGCCCGGTCCGAGGTCTAGCAGCCAGTGACAGAGCGGGGCACTTGCGGCCCTCGCCATCCCGGCAGCACGATGCCCGCGCTCCTGGAGCGCCCCAAGCTTTCCAACGCCATGGCCAGAGCACTGCATCGGCACATCATGATGGAGCGGGAGCGCAAGCGGCAAGGTGAGCTGGCGCAAGCGTGGGGGTAGACGTGGGGTGGACGGCACACAGCCCAGGGTGGCCCCGCTACCCCAGAGCTGACCCCTATTAACAGGCAGTGCACTGTGCTTGCGGGCAAGGCGAGATGGACGGAACAGCCCTACCTGGTAGGAGTGAAGAGGCCTAGTTTATAAATTCCAACACCCTGAGCTGGCAAGGACCTTGGAGAGCACCTAATAAAACTTCCTTCTCCCAGTGATGGGGAAAAAACCATTGCCATGTGCACGCAGGAGTGGTAGGGTAACTGGCCTTTGTCAGTCTTCAGTCTCCTAACATTCGATTTTGACCACGCTACCATTTCTCCATTATACCTGATTCTGCAGAGGAAGAAGAGGTGGACAAGATGATGGAACAGAAGATGAAGGAAGAGCAAGAGAGAAGGAAAAAAAAGGAGATGGAAGAGAGGATGTCACTAGAGGAAACCAAGGAACAAGTAATCAGTCCTGATCACTCCCAGCTCTGGTTTTGCCCCTTTGATTCTTCTGCTTACATTTTTCTCTTCTTCCCCTCCCAGATTCTGAAATTGCAGGAGAAGCTTTTGGCTCTACAGGAAGAGAAGCACCAGCTTTTCCTGCAGCTAAAGAAAGTTTTACATGAGGAAGAAAAACGGAGGCGAAAGGAGCAAAGGTGGGATCAAAGTGTTAAAAGTAAAAATGGGACAAAGCGAACTGGGATCAGGTAGCAAAGTTGGGTGTTTAATGGCAAAAGAGGGGTACCTCTGTTCCTTTTACTTCAGTGACCTGACCACTCTGACATCAGCTGCATACCAGCAGAGCCTGACTGTTCACACAGGAACTCACCTCCTCAGCATGCAGGGTGAGGACTAAGACCACCTGACAGAAAGGGCCCTCCTGGAGATTATGGCTTTCCATTTCAGCATCCCAAAGCCCCTCTCCCTTTCTAGGGAGCCCTGGAGGACACAATCGCCCAGGTACCCTTATGGCAGCTGACAGAGCCAAACAGATGTTTGGACCCCAAGTGCTTACGGTGAGGTTTGGATGTGTAGCCCGTTACTTTTTTCCTTAGAATTTACTCCCAGGCATCCTGTACGGTATACAAAGAACTTAAATGGGCCAGGAAGATACAGAAGTTCCTCAGTTTATTCTTTTCCCTCCAGTACTGAATTTGAACTTAGCCTTACATGCTAGGCAAATGCTCTACTACTGAGCTATAACCCCAGCCCTGAGTTTCTGCTTTCAAGCACTTTACAGGTAATGAGTTCTTTTTTCCTAGACTCGGCACTACGTGGGTTCAGCTGCTGCTTTCGCAGGGACCGCTGAGCATGGGCAGTTCCAAGGCAGCCCAGGTGGTGCCTATGGGACTGCTCAGCCCCCACCTCACTATGGGCCCACACAGCCAGCTTACAGTCCCAGTCAGCAGCTCAGAGGTGAGTGATAGGGACAGGAAGATGGGCTTTCCTCAGTTGAGAGCTTTTAAAGTCCTGATGGGTGGCCCTCCTGCCTTTTTCAGCACCTTCAGCATTTCCTGCAGTGCAGTACTTATCTCAGCCACAGCCACAGCCCTATGCAGTGCACGGCCACTTTCAGCCCACTCAGACAGGTGATTGACACCCTGGGGAGTAGCCCTGGTTCAAGGGGTCTACTGTCTTATACTCATTTCACATACCCTTCTTCCTTGTATAGGATTCCTCCAACCTAGTGGTGCCCTGTCTTTGCAAAAGCAGATGGAACATGCTAACCAGCAGACTGGTTTTTCTGACTCAGTGAGTATAGGCTATGGGAGATTAAAAGGTTTAAAGGAGCCCCCAGTATGCCAATCATATCAACTTTGCCTCTGCAGTCTTCTCTGCGCCCCATGCACCCCCAAGCTCTGCACCCAGCACCTGGACTCCTTACCTCCCCTCAGCTCCCGGTGCAGATGCAACCAGCAGGAAAGGTAAGGGTGGTAATCAAAACCACTACCATGGAAACTAGATAGGTGGCTTGTACCCTGTGGTGGTCCCCTCCCTAGGGGTGTTCATCTCTAAGGGTGTTAAGTAGAAGGGACAGAAACTCAGTGACAAAGCCCTCCTTTCATCACCAGTCAGGCTTTGCCACTACCAGCCAACCTGGCCCTCGGCTCCCCTTCATCCAACACAGCCAGAACCCTCGCTTCTACCACAAGTGACCATCAGATTTTATCTTCAGCTCCATCCCCCATGGGTGAGGGTCTTCCCTGTGTGTCCCCGACCAATAAAACCTACCTGCCACCCCTGCCTGCTGCTGTTTGTGTCACTTCCCACTCAAGTGTTAAAGCTGCTTGGAGGGTGGGGAATGGCTGGCAGGTGCACAGCAAATAAGATAGTGGATCGTAATAAATGCCACTGTCATCAGGTGGCTTAGTTTTTTTCTGGATCATGAATACATTTCCCAGTCAACAAATACTCATTTAATTCAAGTAAGTGGCTGAGTTGAGGGCTTCATATTAAACTTGTAGTTTTATTCAGGTTTGATTTTAACAAATTGTTGGGGAGAGAGCCCGCAGGAAAGGGTGAAGCCCGTGGGGGCAGGGCCCTCCAGGATGCCTGAGGAGGGACCACATCCCTTCCCCTTTTCTCTTCCCTCCCCATTTAAGGGGTATCAGGAGAGACATTGGCAGGGGAGAGAGCTGGTCCCCAGTCTGTGGGGTGGGTGGTATTGGGGTAAAGAGCTATGGTGAACAGGGGACCAGATCATGGACGAATAGGGAAAAGGGTACAAGGACCATTTACCAGAATCCACCGTGTTCTGATTCCAAATTGAATTAAAAAAAAACTGAATTAAAAAAACAAAAAACTCAACCACAAGCAGTACCCACCCCTTCTCCCCGACTAGGGCTATAGTGCAAGGGAGAAGAGGAGGGCAGCTTCACCAAGGCCATGGCTCCCTCACTCCTGGCCAAGGGAGCTAGGTGAAGGGCAGGGGCTCCCCGACAGATTGAGGGGGTTGGGGAAACCAAAATAAAACGTCAAATAAATTGCGTAGGAGTCCAGCCAAGGGCCCGGCTAGAGTGGGGCCAGGCTAAGGGAGGGGCCTCTGCAGGCTTGAGGATCACTGCTGCTGCTGCTGCCGCCGCTGCTGCCGCCGCTGCCGCCGCCGCCACCACCACCACCACCCTGGGGAAGATAAGTGCTGCTGCCGCCGCTGCCGCCGCCGCCACCACCACCACCACCCTGGGTAAGATAAGAGAGAAAAACCATGTAAGACAAGGTAATACTTTCAACAAGAAAGGTAGGAAGGAGAGGATCAGGCTAGAATAACTCTTCAGTGAGAACTGTGAAAGGGGAGGGTGAGGGCTTCTGTCACTCACCTGGGAGCCAGTTATTTTGCCATGGCCTTGATTGCAACAGCTGCCTCCTCTGTCATGGCAGACAGCACCGTGATCTAGAAGAGCAGGAGGGATAATCAGGAGATGCCTGAACTCAAAGGAAGATACAAAGACCAAAGCTGAACACACAAGGGAAAAGGGGCACCATACCAGGATCTCTTCTCCACAATCATACTTCTGCTCAATCTCCTTGCCGAGGTCTCCCTCAGGCAGACGAAGGTCCTCTCGCACCTCCCCGCTGTCCTGGAGCAGTGATAGGTACCCATCCTGAATGCCGATCAGCTGGGGGGTGGGGGGAGATAAGGAAGTTGAAAGTAGGCCTATGTAGGCCGAAGGTAAAAGGTGTGTGATGGACAAATTGGAAAGATGAGCAAACTCTATTAAATACCCTCGCTTCTTGCCATATCCCTCCTCCCTCACTTTTGGTCAATCCCTATTTTTCCTCCATAATCCATCCTCGTCCTGATCATCTACATACCTGGAAATCATTTCTTTTGATGTTTGGGACATCCATATTATGAGTTGACGGGCAGATATCTTCGTATTTCTTCCCAGTAAAGATGTCAATACCAACCAAGTGGACCTGTATATATGAACCACAAAGAGAAACCCAACCAAATTCTAGGATGGAGAACATAAATACTTGTGTTATTCTACCTGGCTGATGAAAGAAGTCAGTCTGTCTTATTAGGGAAAAGATTAAGAGAGTTGGAAATGAACCACAACATAGAGAAGAAATACTAAAGTCCCCGCAAACCCTGAGTTTTGCTAAAAGAACTCCACTGAGATAAAGGTCGACAGTATAGTAGAAATGGTAAGGTAGGCTTAGGGGAAGCCCATTAGCCTGAAATGGCAAATACTAATACAATACCAGCAGCCTAGGGGATTAGGAATCTAGGCAAAAGTTTGCAAGTTTTCTGGAGACACACAAGGGGCTAGGAAACTGGAAAATAAAGGAAGGTAAGGTAGAAGGGAAAAGCTGAGAAAAAGAAATGTAAAAGAACTTTAGAAAGTACTTGAAGACCTTTGCAGTTAGAAAATAAAGAAACCAAAGAAAAGGCATTAGAGGATAACCAGGACTAATGCCAAGTCAACAAAAGCTGGAAAACCTGACCAGTAAACAAAACCACAAGAAATTCAACATGAAAGCCACGTTGAACTTGGAAGGAAAATGTCTGAGGTGATCCAGGAAGCACGTGCAATAAAGTTAAGATCCAAGAAAGCAAGGAAACAACAAAGAACTCAAGGACACAGGCAAGGGCAGGAACTAGTGTGTGGGATGACATCAGCTCCAAAGAGGGAGGTAAGTAACAAAGTGACTTGAGCCCTGCAGGGAATGCTACACTGTCTTTCTGTGTTAGGATCTGAGTGGGCAAAGTGATGGAAACAAAAGGACATCTACAAGGCTCAAGGAAAAAGACCAGGAATAAAGAACAGCTGAATAGCCAGAGTGTAAAAGACCATGAAGAGATTGGCACAAAGATGGAAAAGGAGAGACATACCAGAGAATGATGGGGCCACCAAAAGATTTCAACCGAAGAGGCTGGAGACTCGAAGCAGGTATAGTAAGGCTGAGTGCTTAGCAAAAAGGACTGAGAAAAGAACTAAAGGAAAGTAAAGGGCCAGGACTAGTGAGTGACAGCCTGCTGCCAGGAGTCCTATGGATAAAGGAGGTGTGGGGAAGGCAAGATGTGGAGGAGAAATTCTAACCTTGGCATGGCCATGCTTGCCAGTCTTCGAAGTAGACATCTCGACGATCTTACATGGCCGGCCTTTGAGCACCACAAAACCATTCTTACGTAATGCCGAGCACTGCATTGGGAAGGTAGCTGAAGCCCCTGCATCTCCTGTCTCGAAGTCCAAATCATCTGCCATTTTAAGAGGCTTGGATTCCAACTAAAGCCAAGAAGAGAACTGGGGTCAGTAAGGATGGAGGTTATCAGAACCTCTAATCCATCCCATTCTTTTCCAGAATCATTGCTTTACTTTCCCCAACCCTTTACTCCGTTACCCACCTAAAATAAAGTCAAAAGTTCCTGGAATAAATACTGACTGGGGTCAAATATTCTGAAGAAGGGGTAAAGGGTAGAGGAGAATACCTGGATTCTCCCCCAAAACGAAAGCTAAAGTCATGGCTTGGGAAAGAAAGGTTTCAGGGAGTTGGGATGCCAAATCTGAGATGAGGAATGGCCTACTTCCTGGGAGGGGGAAGGATTCAGGTATTATTTGCCACTGAAATCAACCACCCCTCTTCCCCACAGATAGCCAGGGCTATAATTAGGTGAGCAGCCATGAGCCAGCAAAAAGGCGGGGCTAATACGGTGAGGGTGGAGATGGGAGGGCAAGGCCCCACCCGGTTGTTACACCCTTCCACCCCTATCCACACACAAGCCAGTCACTGGTACAGGAAGCCACAAGGCCTCTTTGGGGGATTCCCGCCTCTCCAACATGCACTTGAAGATGCAGTCAAGGGAGAGAAAGTAGTTTCCAAATGATCCCCCTATTAAACACCTCGATTTCAGTTCCCAAAGGGAAGCCAGCCTCTACTTGAGGGCCCTCCCACTTTTCCCAGGATGCATCGGTTCTGTCGGCTTTTCAGGCCCGGCCTGTACAATCAGTAGAAAGTGGAGGAGTGGGGGGTGGTGAATGACAATAAAATGAAAGCAAAAGGTTGGTAGTAGTATGTATCAGAAATCACACTAGGCTGGTAGTTAGGGACTCTATAAAATCGAGTTACTCCCAAGCCAGCTACAAGTAAGACAGTGACAAGGTGAAGACCGCATATCATCGTGGGCAACTGTCTGCCTCGGACACTGAGGCGCCGTCGGCATGGACCGAGCCGAAAAGAGGCTCGTGTCCAGTCTCCCTCGGTCTCACCATTTCTTCAGCCCGTGAGTTCGGAAAAGTGCCACTTACACCTGGCTGACCGCCTCACTTCACGTGAGGGCTGAGGGGCAAACTCCAAGGACCCATAAGGTTGGGAAACCGAAACATATGCCTCTGTAGTAAGCCCTCCGAGGTGATCGGAACCCGGTCTTCAGACTTCTGCTCCCCAGAATTCTAAGACCCCTCAGATGCTCGAAAGGAACATCTTTCCCCGCGCTGGGGATAGCCAGCTCCCGCCCACCATGTGGCCGCTCGGGGTTTCCGGTGGCCGGGACCTGGGGGGAGGGGTCCCCACACTGCCATGCGGACCCGGTCCACGTTCGG